AAACATAATAACATATAAGCTGAAGAAAGTATTATTGCAGAAATCTTAGCTGTGCTTTAAATAGGCAGAACTAGGTATATCTGTATCAGTGCTATATTTTACTGAGGGAGTACATGATGCAACACTGCAGCCATCAAGGGCGGCTTTACAGTAGAACCTGAGCTCTTAGGTCCTGCCTAATTTCATCCTAAATACTTAGGTGTGACCTTCAAAACCTGTTTTGAGTGCTCTCCCAGCCCTGGGGTAGCCCTCTTCCCTGCAGAGCTGCCTTTTTAATGTGAAATGCTCCTTACGGCTTCCCTAGTTCTGCATTGGGAGGTTTGACAATGCCTGCCCTAGTAGTTCAACCTGTGCTGCAGCATCTCTGAGATATTTCCGAATCAACTGACTGGAGGAGCAGAGGGAGGACATGCCTGACATCCAACACGAGGGCTCTGCTTAAACCACACAGTAGTTCGGTGATAGTGGACTCAGTTCTGATGTAAAACACATTTTATTCTCTTGTCTGCTGTAGGGAGTTTGATCTTACGGCTAATATTCAGTGGGCCAGGAGTCACAGCCCTCTTGCATGACTAAGCGATAGTCTCTCCATTGTGCGCTCCCACACCTGTCACAGAAGGAACAGAAAATGCTCAGCCCGATACTTGCTGTTGCTTGCACTGTTAGCATGGATTAATAAAGTCTTTCTCTTGGAAAAAAAGCAGGTTATCATGTGAGGAATCCCTCTGGGTTTCTGTAAGACGGAAATAAATCCAGTAGTGCGTAACTCAGTAGGATATTTTGGGCAGGATTTAGAGTACATTCCTGCCTTCAACATTTCCTGTGAATACCACACTAAAAAAACATGTTTTAAAATGTGTGCGAGAGTCCTAGGTGAACAATTCCGGAAGCTGGTCATTAAAACGCAACTGTCTAATGAGCACTGATGTCATTGCTATACACTTGTGGAGAGCTAGTTGTAAACACCGAGTGGTTCCACTGAGAAACCAGCTTCCTGTAGATTAATTGTGACAGTGATGTATGTAACATGTAAATAGAACTAATCAGAGATGCCGGCCATATAACCATGGGGCAGGCAGGAAATGAATACAGCTGAGAACTCTGCAGACTCACTTTCTTATTTTGGCCTTTCAAAAGACTAAATAAATGAATTTAGTTTAGCACAGATGTAAACATTTTCCACAGCAGAAGTTCTGCAGAAACTACAGAGATTCCTAAGCCTGCTCCAAGCTTGAGTTTTCATCACAGATGCCTTACAAAATTCTTTTGAGATCCCTGGCTGACAGGACCTACAGACCCCGAATGTAAATCCTGTTGTCAGTGATCCATATCTGAAGCAATGCAATTTTGTTTCCTTCCTTTTAAACAGCAGCAACAAAAGAGGGTTTTATAATGTGAACTGTGTAGGCGTTACAATGCTTCTCTTCCACTAACTCTGAAGTGTCCCACATGCCAAGTTCCTCCACTAGGATGAATCTTTTAAGGTGCACCGCTAAATAAATTCACTGAATTAGCAGACTGCAAGCTCCTCTACTTAAGATTTACAATAAAACTATTTTCCTTTTGTACTGCTTCATGAAGCAAAAATCATTTTTTATCTGAAGAGAAACAAAACAACCATATGTCGGATCATGTTATTAAACTGTAGGTCCAATTATGGTTTCCAATAAGGAATAAACATAAATATTGAGAAGTGATAAATTGTTAAGAAGTTACTGAAAAGCAGAATTATTTATTAAAGCCAAATTGATTCAAAACATGTAATTTTAATTTTCAACTCTTCAAACCCCTGTACAGGAAAGAGAAAGATGGAAATACATCTTTTCAGCCCATGCTCTTCAGTGAAGTTTCTTTCCATGCTTATTCTTCACAGGACAGTAAAGAGACTGTGTTGCTTTTTTTTTCTTCCCACAAAGATGAATGTCACTTCCCTTCAGCAGAAACTAAAACAAACATAACCCCACAAAAGCCATACTGGTAAAATTGGGTTTGAATAAGAACAATGGTGGAGCTGGGTTGTGGAGGAGCCCGGGCAGTGCTAGAACATGAGCATGGACTTGAAGGAGGCAAAGTTTACACTTACCTGGCCAGTAAGAAAAATAGCTTGGAGAGAGATGCGGTGGGATTACTAACAAAGGAGAACTTCTCATTGTGCTCTAGTTCTTTGTGCTGAGCTGAACCACTCAGTCAGGGCTTCACTTCTATTCAGCTGAACTGAAAGTCTGAATCTTTCAGTGCTTACCTTTAAAAAAGAAGTATGACATATTCAGTGTATAATACAATGTCCTTATTGCTAATGGTATCAGTCCATTTTTCTTTCACAGAGGGCAGCTATTGGTTCTACACAAGTCAAGCATGACTTGATCATCAGCTGTGGTAGGACCTTATCAAACACTAACAGAAGCCAGTGCAGACACTTTTCAACCGAAGAAGAGGCCCAAAGAGATCAGGACATCACCTCAAGGAACTTCCTGCACTTTATGATCTATTCAATTTTGCTTTGTTGTCACATAAAGATTGTTTTGAAAATACATATTCTATTCATCCAACTATGAAAGCTCTTGAAAAATGTATTTATTCTTTTCTACAAGTAATAAATCATTAAGTCGATATTGTTCTCACTTTGCAGAGATGATCTTGATTTGAGGGCTTAAAAATCACTAGCCTCCTTCCCAAAATATTTGTGAATACGTTTCAGTGGTTAGAGAAATGGTTGGGAATCAAGGCATTTAGTTCTTATCCCAAATTTCTTTGGAGCTTTCTAGGTCTCTAGTTATGTCATCAACATAATATTCTGGGTCTGCTTTTTCTGGCTTAAAATAACTTACTCATTTTTCTATATCATCATCTTGCAGTATACAAAACAGCCCAGAAGCATTTATAGGGTCATTAATACTGTTGCTATAACTACTGTAGCCTGCAGTGCAAAACAGAAATACTTAGCACCAGCACCATCACTGACAAAACACAGGCTGACTTTGATGCAATTTGGCTACTTCAGGGCCTGGATTTAATATTAGCTTTCTATTAATGGAAAAAAAAAGGGGGGGGGGGGGGAAGAGATTGTTTGTAATTGTTCCCTTCTTCCCCGTCCCCTCCCCTCCCCCAAAAAAATTTCCAGATGAATTCTCAGGAGATGCACAGCACATTGCTGCATTTGGGACTGATGCTATTGTCACAGTATAGTACAGTAATATTTCAAGCATCTGAGAGATAACACCCATTGCTTTAGAGTCATTTAAGAGTGGATTGGACAAGCCATTCAGACATACGCTGGGGAGAGCCCATCGTTGGTGGGTGCCGAAAGAGATGACAAAACAGGTCATTTCCGTCTATAAGTTACATGGTGTAGTGGCAAGGCCACCATAATTCACTTTCTGAGTGACGTTTCATGCTACAAATCTTTTCAAAATCAGCTTACATGAACTGTTGAGGTTACAGTTAACATTTTTCAGGAACTGAAATCACCAGGTAATAAAATTATGGCAGATGAACACAGACAGTATTATATACACATAATAGGTGGGAAAAAAGCTCACGTGACTACCACTGTTGTGGAAAAGTGAAATAAAATCATGCATTCTATATATATTTACTTATTTGTAAAAGGCAGACTATATTATTAAAGACAGGTATGGTTAAAGCTAGTTTAAAATAAGCAAGATGTGATATATAAGCCTACTCTGAAACTGCAAATGCAATTTAAAACCATAATCCTGCTTCTTAAAGGTCCTTGGGTCACAAAAGGCAGTTTTGTACTGAATATTTCCCATTCAGTCTGATCTTAAAATTTGTATCACACATGTAATACACGTGAGTTTTCTTTCATTTTTTCTCTCTCTCAAAAAAAATCACAATAGATAACATCTTTTTTGTTATGTTTCAGGAATTTGGAGTCCCAGCAGAGATTTCTTTTTTACTTCTTTTGAGTATTAGTACCTCCCGTCCTTCTCAGCTCTGCAAGCCACAAGGAAAAGGCCATGGTGGGACTCTCACCAGAACTTACCCATGTTGTGCAGAACTGGACAAATTCTGGGAAGGTGACGAGGTCATGTCTTCTCCCCAAGGCTCGGTGTCTTACCTGAACATTCAAAACAAGGCATTGGCATTAAAAAAAAAGGAGGACTATATAATTCTTAATCAATTAGCTACTGCATAATTTTTAATTTTTTCCGGCCCCTCATTCAGCTAACACTGAAGAGGTTTCTTTGGTAGACATAGTGTTCCTATGACATCTCCAACACAAATTGTACTTAAGAATGAGAAACTTGACATCAAGCTCATATGTGAAGAGGTAATTTATGCTGATCAGCGTAAAAAATTAATACATTTTTACATTATGCAAACTGAAATGAGAAATTTTTGGTTATTTGCTGTCAAAATAAAAAAAAAAATGACGAGTTTTTGTGCTGAACTAAAGACTTTTTATCCTGGCTGGGAGATTGTAAATGAAAGTAAGGCCACAGATACAAAAGATAAAGGAGGAGCTTTAAGTGGACAAACTTGAACTTAGAAGTAGGTGCTCGTCATTTCTGAAAAATGGTGCAAAAATTAAAATCTCCACTTACAAAATATCAACCACAGCTTCATCTGGCTCTTGCAGGAGACTCTGAGAAACGCCGAGTTTCAGGTTAGCATACTGTAGATAGAACTGATTTTGTGTCCAGCATATGGCACCTGAGGCTGTAGAGGGCAGTTTAAGGTCAGTTAGAAGTTCTTCTAAGAGCTTAAGACAATGTTGTACGTTATTTTATGCAAAATTATTCTCACTAAAGTTAATTTTAGCGAAACTATGTACACTTCTTACAAGTGTTTGGGGGAAAATTATGGCGTCACCTTAAGTCTAGTAAAATAGCAAGTTCCACAAGCAGAAACCCAGGAGTTGCTCTCTGCTGATAGCTGTGTTTGGATGATCAACGGCCATTTTGCGCAGTTGCACTCTCACTTCCCTAAATGACGACTGTAAAACCAGAACTCTACTTAAAGCCCCGTGTATGCACAGCTGCAGTGGCAGTGAAGGTGGAGCACCTCCTTCTTCCCACTACCTGCTCTGGAAACTGCTCAGCAGCCAATTGGGGGCAACCCAGCCCGATACAGAATGTGAGAGCCCTCCTGAGCATGTCAGTTACACCAGATGCAACTGCTGTAAGGAAGTAAAAGAAACATTTTCTGAAACTGGGAAGCTTTTTCAGAGGAAGATGGAGAACCCACTTCTTCTATTCCCCCAACTAAACATTTCTGCTTCAAAGGATAAATCCTATTACAAAGTCATGAAATCAACAAATAAAGAAGAGCCACATAAAGGAAGCAAGCCTGGGTAAGTTTTAAGGTCACGCTGACACTCCGAGTGTTCTGTTTATGTAGAGGATTCTTCTAACATAGCTTGTGGGTACGAATTTAGGGCACAGATTGTTTTATTTTTGACTTACATATATGAAAACTCATGAACTGCAATCTTAGGAATTGTATACATAAAATATTAATTCATCGTGGAAATATTTTTTAAGAACAAGAAACAAATCAAATCATAAACTAAGAAAATAGGAAAGGGAGGTTTCAAGCATTTCTGAGAAATGCTTCTTTAAAGCCTGAATATGATCTGGGAAAGTTTCTTTTTAAAAATGTCAAATGACAGGAAGCAATACTTCCTTTTTCTTTGCGAAACATTAAAAGTAGAAGATGCTGAGCCAACTGTTTATGTTCTCTAATGTGAAATTTCACCCCCTCATCTTTAAAATAAATGAAAAAGATACTGAAAATGAAAAAAAAATTCCATTTCTCTTTGCCAGTGCTTCGTATATAAATTTGTGCTAAGCTATAAAGAAAAAAATCACTAATGTGAATAATATATGTAGGAGAAATAACATCAACAGTACTATAAGTGAACATAGAGGGATCTATGATGCAGAAGCAGAGATATTAGTCAAAGGAAATGTTTGAGGGGAAAAAAACCAACTTTCAACAAGGTTGCTTGAAAAGCTACCCTAATTCTGTTGTAGAGCTAAGCAGAAGAGAAATAGGCTGAGCCTTCTCCTGCAGAAATCTGAATTCCATGAAGGTGATCGTCTTGGTAGACCTGGAAACATGACAAAAGCAGCAAGGTAAGCATTACAAAAGACTGAGTCGATGGGGATTCCTTTCAGGAAGTGCCTGTGTGACTCAGAAAGTTTCCGGCGTTTGTGTGTGTGCATTCAGACTTGGCAGAGAATAACGCTTTCAAGATCTATTTAATTTAAAGGTTAGCAAACTAACCAAGGCATACAAACACTATAGAATTATCTGGTATGCATCAAGGTAACTCATCACTAGTGTTCTCACACCACTAAGTGTAGACTGGTCTCCATACACTTGCAGATATGTTTAAACCTTTACTCATGCCAACAGCATTTTTATTAGTCCACTGACTATACTGAGCAAGCATCAACTCAGAAATGTAGCTGACAAATTACTGCTTACAGGGAAATCATACAGCTCCTTGGAAAGCAGGTTTTCCAAAGAATTCTGTGATGTACAAATGCCAGATGCATGTCAAATACTAAATTCATAGTTCCTCAATAATTGCAGTAATTGTTTGAACACTCTTGTCTCCAAAATTCAGATACTGATGTTTAAACACTGTTGTAGTATTGTCCCTGTTATACTATTTCTTATAAAGATGCAGGATAAAATCTTGGTTTTGTTGACTTCAATAAGCGCTTAGTTCCTGCTTCAATGGGGTACCAAGATCTCACCGATATATAAAGAATTGCATTTGTAGGTCTTGACTAAAAAGAAGGAATGCGTAAAGTACTGCAACTCCACGGCCTAAAAATTTGCCGCCCCTTTCTTCCATCACAGATCACTGCAGAACACTTCAATGCTTCCTGTGTTCTTTTGTCTTGTTAAGCTTAATATACCTTGTTTAAGCAGTTACTGTCTTTGGGACGAAGATGCCTGCTTTGACCAGAACTGCTTCTACAAGCCCTTACTAGTTGTGAACACATGGTAGAAATTGTATAAAGGCCCAAACTCTGTTTCTAGAACCCACTAAAAAGCGGTGAAGAAGTGGGTGTCTAAACACTTGTACCTATGCATCTGGATAATTAGGCAATGTTTGTTGCTCACATGTCCAAATATCATGCCCATCCAAATGATAGGGTGTACTCATGATCTGCAAGACTTTCCAGTCCACGCTCGTGGGGGATTTCATTACTTTCTTTTTCTCTCTCTCTCTCTCTTTCTTGTTTTGCTGCTGGTGGAAGCCTTGATTCAATGGTTTTACAGTTCACTCAGAAATGCAAGACATTGCAATGATGAACAAAGGTAAAACGGTGCTGAGAACACCCTTTTTCCGTTTCTCGGTTCCAGACATGCAAAACCATGCTAAGATTACATCTAAAAAGAGAAAGCACAGCCTCCATGCCACCTGTATGTAGACAGTATTGGGTGGCTGATTACCCCTCGGTATTTCATACAAAGTACACAGCCATCGATGCATTCTTATAATCTGTGAAAAGACACTTTCAGAGGCAGATACAATAGCAATAAATAATTCTCCGAAGAATTTCCCCCTTTTAACAGACTATCAGTTCCTCGCTTAGCCAACTGCCTTTTACCACATTACTCTCAGCCAGGTGCCTGACTAACAGGGATTCTGCTGTTCTTCTTGTAGAGAAGAGAAACTGGTAGATTTTTGCTGAGCTTTCTCTATCTATAGATCAGAGAGGGAGAGAGGTGTAGATTATTTTTGGCAAAAATGAAAAAACCCCAAAACTCTTTTTCAAATAATAAAGTGAGATAATAGTTTGAGATTTATTAAGTTATTTACTTAGTTTTTATTATTTCCATTCTTCACACAGAGATACTAACTAACATAAGTAGAAAGATAATTTAATGAAACACTGCAGATGGACAGCGTGGTGATAGTGGAAGTGCCTGTGACCTGTTAATTAGTTTTTTCTCGTCTTTAGAAAGCAGCAAAGCTGAACAAATCTTGGTTTCTGTCTATTATTGCAGCAACTCATTGCTGCACCCGGGTCTTGGGGATCTGTGAGGCTACTGGGTTAATGCAGTTTCTGAAAGAAAACCAGAAATTCACACTAAGAGTTTCCAAACCCAGCAAAGAACGTCTCCAGTGTTCCGTGCAGTTGTGGACTGCGTATGTTGTGTGAAGTCATCAGGGTTTATCTTTCACTATGACCAAATTAATTTCTGTAGCTATAGGAACGCACTGTTCCCAGACTTACAAGTCCACACGGTTCAGAGAACTGCACTTTTTGTACTTCTCATAACTAAAAAACTCTGTAAGGGTGTGAGGTCTCATTTTCCCTGACTCCAGAATCCCCTTACTTTACTGGGCTATGCTCATTTCTTGAATTTCAGTTCTCCAGCATTTGTACCTCTCAAGAGCTGTTTGTCTCTCCCTAGTTAAAATTTCATTCCTATAAGCAATGACTTCAGCTAGGAGACATGTGACACCTATTAAAATAAAATAAAATAAATCCTCCTTTTAGTTTTCTGCAAAACCAAGATCATTACTGGCTTAAATTCCTTCCCAAGGTGATTGGAATTTCCTTTCATCTAAACTTCATGTGCCTACAGATTTTGCCAAGGGAACCCAAACTATGTGAATCAGGCAACAGAACGGCAAGCCTCCACGAGGAAGGGGGAATCATATTCAAGAAGTGTTCAGTCCTTAAGAAGTTGTTCTAACCAACTAATCCTGGACAAATTGCTTACTGATACTTTCAGTGTACTGTGCTTTGCCCTCGAATGAAAATGGTTCTAAATACTAATATTCATAAAGTACCTGATAAAAATTGACTTCACCTTCAGGCTTGGAACTTAAGTCCTAGTCCTAGCATGATACAGTTCATCTCCGGGCTTACTCCAGTTCTGGTCTACTAAAGATCAAAGTACTGCCCAGGTGTGCATTCAGGGTTAATCTATACAAAACCAAAAAAGGGTTTCTCCAAAATTGTATTTGCGTGAATGAAGTAGGCTGTTCTTTTTTCCTTTCTGCATTGCTCTCTAGGGCAGAATATTTGAAATCAAAGTAAAGTACGTGCAGCTTGACATATTTGATGAAGAATACATGGAGTTTTATAAATGGAGCACAGTATCTCAGAATAACATGACATTTGAAATATGTTTGTGGTAAACAAATCTGTTTACGTGTGCTATTACCCTACAAGACTATCACCTAAACCATATCGCTTCAACTTTGTCTTCAGGCTACAGAATTTCCTGTATTTCATTAAAAATAGACTGGTAACACAGCCTCAGACCGAGTGCATTCAAAACCACATATCTGCAAGAGTATTTTTTAAGTTTAAATAGGTGACTGACCTGGTTCCCTTAGGAGTTTTACCATACTGCATGATCTCAGTTCCCTTAAAGATCAGTAGCGCAACACAAACACCGAAGAGAAAAATCTCTGCTCTGATGCTTTTTAAACAGGGGAAAAAAGTACAACTCTGCAGGAAGAATGTCAGAAAAAAACTAAACCAAATGTTTCTGGAGTCCCTAAGAGAATGAGCTCCTTTAGTAATGTGATCTAATCAAAGGCTTTGTGAAACAGTCCTGAGCAATAATGGTAACAGATAACATATGTTACAACAGCTTCATAAATACACAGTATGCACAATTCTTCAAAACCACTTTCTGTTTCTTAAGCAGTGTGTCTCCTGAAGAAGCAGTGAAATGGGGAGAATCTTTTGACAAACTGCTTTCTGAGAAAGGTTAGTAGTTTTTTCCTCTCCGTGCAGACTGTTAGGAGGGAAAATTGATGGAAAATGATGGAAAATTTTAAAATCCAGTTGTGCACATTGAAGTGCAGACCTGGCAGTTACCTAAACTAGGTATGATGAGTCATTTATAGCAGCGTGTGTTTCTGCTCTCCTCATATGCTTAGGCTATAGCATGCTGTCAACTACTGAAAATAGTTGAAAATAACTTTTAAATTTTGTATTTTATTGAACCGAGTAATATGACAGCAAAGAGTTCCTTCAATAAACAGTAGAATTTCATTTGAATATTGCTCAAATATTCCTGACTGCAAGACCAAACCTTAAAAATGAAAACATGTTCTATGTACTTAAGAAAAGACTTTGTCACTTCTGAATACAGTTTGTTTCTAAAACAGTGATAGGATGAAAGCTGGCTGTCATTTGAAAGGGCCTGTTACTTACATAATTATCAAGTGCACATATGTCCCTCCTTCCATTTTAGAGGGACACACGTATGATCCAGCTACAGTGCGGACACTATGTCCTTTTCAAATCTGTTCCTTGAACAGCTGACATCAATACGATTGCATTACTTCCACAGATTAAGCATACTTGGGAAAGAAAATACCTTCAGCATAATAACAATAGGATAAAGCAAATTGTAAAGATGCTAAAAGCCATTCATTTTAAATTGTTACCGGAGAACAGTCTACTTCAAATACTGTTTCGGTCAACCTAAATTGATATTCAGCCGGAATAAAGTCCATCACTTCCACATACTTCCACATGTTTTGATTGCTTCTGTTTCTAAATTCACGAGATCTCGGTAGTGGATTTTTACAGATGCTGAGAATTCTGTAATGGGAGTTACAGCACTCAGGATCATAATGAAAGAACTGCACTTATTTTAAAACCTTAATGTATTTTAAAATAGTTATCTACAATGTGATGTAATTCAAAGGGAGTACAACCTGTGCAAGTACCTTGCACAGACTGTGTGAAAAGAGTAACTGTCTGATAAGGATATTTTTTTTTTTAATGCAACTCAACATTCCCTTCTGTAGCTGGGTTGGATGCCTTTACGAAGTTTCTGAAAACTGAATTCAGTGAGGAGAACATCGAGTTCTGGATAGCTTGCGAGGATTACAAGAAAAGCAAAACTGCACATGAACTTTTGCCAAAAGCTAAGGCCATTTATGAAACATTCATACAGAAAGATGCTCCAAAAGAGGTACAGTAAAAATGTTCTTCATCGTACACAGTATTATTTGACACAACTGCATCTGAAGAAATCTGCTTTTAAGGAGTGCATGCCCAGAAGCAGGGGCAACAGTTAATCATGTAGTCACTGACGTAAGAAGGCTGTATCTTAAGTGTCAAAGCTCTGGAAGGAAGTCTGGAAGCAACTGCATAGATTATTCTCACTGTCCTCCATGCTCCTTTCAATACCCCCTCCCTGTTACTCTTCTAAGTGTAGAGCATGAATTTAAATGTTGTATCACGGGAATCAGAGATTCCTAGTGATCTGTAAAGCCAGAATATATATACACATATACAGGGTATATTTAAGAAAAAATAGTGATGTTAAATGTTAAAGCTGCAATGAGACATACCAGCTAGCATTTGTGAAAAAGTATTATCTGTCTTTATTTAAAGCTACCTCCAGAACAACAGATTTATTCTCCATATTAAATTATTACATAACTGAGATTCAGAAGCTTTTATTTTAAATAAGGCAAAAGACTACTAAAAGAGACTAGGTGAAACTATTGAATTAAACATATCCTTTAAAATAATAATTATGTTTTAAGCATGGACTTTTCTTGATTGACCCCTCCCCCCTTTCCACCCCCCATGCTCTAATTGCATATTCTTGGTATGTTACTGTCAGCCCATACACAAAAATACATTGATATGTCAATCCTCACCAACACTGAAGCCTTTTTATATTACTATAATAGTGCAAAAAGTTTTTATATTTACGATTTCTTCATGTTACTGAAGTGTGTTATAAAGGATTCATAAATGAGCAAAAGGAATATTTTTTGCCTGCTCTAGAAAGGAGATTAACAGGTTGGGAGATGATGAACTCTCACTGAAATCACAGTCAGCCTCTTCAATAGGTCTTTTGGGCTTACAATTTCCTGTAATTCTGTCAGGTTTGAGCAGATCAAATATGTTACTTGCCCAATGCTCCTTTTCCCCTGTATTCTTTTTTATTTATTTGTCAGAATAGCAAAAGTTAAATACTAACTGTTACTTCCCTGTAACAAGGGGGAAAAAGGTGTAATTCTCATTTTAAGAGAAGGATTGCAAAATGGTGCAATTTCCACCTGTAATTCCCATAGATTATTTTTAAGATTCAGATCTGCTTTTCCTAGGAAAAGTCTACTTGCAAAGACTTGGGTCTCTTTTTATTTTTTTCCCTGCTGCATGTCTTTGGGGTTGGCCTTACATAAAAAGAAACCCCCTGAGTTGTTTGAGGTAGAACCTGTCATTGCCAATTGATCAATACTTGAGCAGTTATGATAGGGCATCAAGCACTGATACTGTCAATGCTTATGAGACTGACATAAGCGAAAAGATGAGCAGGAGGAAAGCTAGGGAGGGGGCAGGGTGTGGAAGTCGTACTTTGACTAATAGTTAACGTAATGATTTTTTTATCTGTCATACTTTTGATTTGGTGCACGTAGTGGGGGTGCTGTTCTTCACCTTAAGCAGCTGGCTTTGGTGAGACTTCCTTCCTGGGGTTCAGCTGAGCAGCTGAGACCAGCCAACAGCATCTCATTTCCGAGCACGCAGCTCTGGAACTTGCGTCTTCTCTCTGACTAACTTCTTGTCCAGCAGAGCTCTTTTACACACAAATTTCGGAGCGTACCATTTGATAGGATCGCAAAAATCTTACATTTGATGTGTGGACCATTTTATCATCATTAATTGCCCTTCAGTTCTTAGATCCAAATTATTTGTTTTAACTAGCTTTATGGAAATGACAGGTGTGTCTCAGTGAGAAAAAAGAAGCATATCATAGAAGTCACTTTTTGACTGGATCAACAATTTTTTTAGTATATTCTATCTTATTTTTCAAAATAGCATGCTTAAATCAGTGCCTGACACTTCAATAAAATTCTCATACTAGTGCAATCTTCCGAGGATGAATGCAACGGCACATGGAATAAGTGATCATTTTGATATGTTTTTCCCACCTAAAGCCTCCAGAAACCCTTTAAAATAATATTTATATTTTAATTATTAGAGTTTTTTCACCTTCCTACTACCAAAACTCTACAGAGAAACCAGAAATTTTAAATATTCACTAACATAGTCTAATGAGACAAAGTTCTACATGAATCCTAAATGAGAATGGAGGGAGTTTTGTATTAGTCTGGTGTTGCAAAGCCTGACAGCTGCAACTATACGAAGTTGACGGTTAGAAAGTTACTTTTAGTCAAACATCAAACTTTATTTTCTATTTTACCAGTTTTCCATTGTACCAATGACACGTCTGTGAAGACTTTCTGACAGCCATTACTGAACATGAACATACTAACTAATTCTGTGGTATTCATATCCCCTTCTATCAGGGATTCAAGGTCCTCTTCTCAGAAGAGACTTTCACCAAAGTATAGTATCATTGCTATGGATAATAACACAGGAAATGCATGAACGTACATTAAAGAAATACACTTTTCCTCATTCTCCAGGTGAATTTGGACTTTCAAACCAAAGAAGTCACAAGTCAGAATATTGAACATCCCATCATCACCACCTTTGATGCAGCACAAAACACAGTCTACAGGCTGATGGAGCAAGACAGCTACCCACGCTTCCTAAGATCTGATCCTTATTTAAATTTGGTTAAGGGGAGAAATCCCAGTCGTCCTACCCTTAGGAGACGATCACGGTCTTTTACTGTCAGTGATTTCCAGGGTGTACGACCAGACTTTACCGTTTGGTAACAGGGAAACTCAACCCTCAAATTCTAGCTATTGCAGCACCTCGTATGTGTTTTAAAATCCAAATCCTTAGCAGGCGTAAATGAGTGGAAAGCAAAGTCACATGCACTTACACCAGGTCAGAGTTCTGTGGCCAGTGATTAATCTCATTTATTATAGAGAAGTAGGCAACGTATTGGCAAGACATATAATGTAAAGTTTTCATACAGTATTTTTTTTTCAACTCAAGCAAGAGCTGTAATCATATTTGGAGGAGAAATTTGAGGTTCCTGCATAAAAGTGTTGTATAAAATGCCATTTGATAATATCCACCATGTATCCTGGACCTGTATTATTTAGGACAGAGTTTCATCACGGTTAGAATCTATATACCTAGCCTTTGCACATATTTATGTTTCTGCAGTATTTCCTACACTAAGCACAGAGTATTTGTGGTATTTTCTCATACTGCAAAACACATAGGAACATTATTAGGTATAATGTAAAGTTACATGGATTTTAACTACAGCCACTGCGTAATTCAAATTTAGCTATTGCATATTTTAAGAGGAACATAAGAATACCTATTTAATTTTTTGATGTATATTTTGTACTGTTTTCTTATTACATATGTTTACTCTCTGTATTTAAGTTATGCTGTATAGATTAGCTTTGCCTTCAAATACTTGTATGCTATTTTTTTGCAACCAAATGAGCAGCAACAAAGGGCCAAGAATGCTATTTTAACACAATGTGTGTCATTAAATATCAGGTCATGTGTATGTGTATATATATATATAAGATATTTCTACTTTTATTTGTAAATATTCATGTTATACCAACTTTGTTACTAAACTTTGTTCTAAATTTGTTCTGCCTTTTATTCTGAAAAAGAATCTGAAAATTAACAGCTCTTGGACTCATGTAGAATAACCTTCCGTTCTACCGGTCATTAATATAGTCTCTATGGTTATAGAGGAGGAAGGAGAAATCTCCCCTTTTATTTCTTTACTAGTGAAGTCACGCATATCCTTTTCATAGTCAGTATACATAGTTATCTTGTCCTTTGCTTTCAGAATTGATGCAGACATACCTTGAAGCATGGGTCAATTCTTAAAACCTTAAACATTGGTTCAGCTTAGCAAGTGCCTGCAGGATTTAGTTGTAACTCTGACTTGTATATTCAGTCGCTTTGCGTGGAATTTAAGCTTTCTCCCTTTTCTTCCCCTTTCTGTAAGTGGTCAAAGTGAAGAGGTGGAGTTCCTGAGGATGGGACTTTATGTTCATTACTAATTCAGGATATGTATGAGCTGCTTGATCTGAGGGTTTCTGTGTCTGCTTTACTAACTTCCAATAAATCTGAAGTGATCTACTTAAAAAGTTGTCAGGATTCAGTTTATCACTAGTACATTGATGAGTAAACCATGAAGACTTCACTTCACTTATAGTTCAATACTAGCTGTAATCATTACCATTTCAATCAACAGTGTTACTGTGCACAGAGACCCAAACTCACCAGGAACGCTGCTGAGCCGCAGTGACCTGGGAACCATCTCCAAGCTCTTACCTTTACCTGGGGAATAGACAGGAAACACATTTGTAATGATGAGGAGTATGATCCTTGCTGGTTTATTCCGTTATCCTTCCCTGATCCCAAAACTCCAGGCACATGCTATTTCTAACTGTGTAAGCGGTCAGAACCCGAGCACAATGATTCAGGAATACATCAAATGTTTTTAGTAGCGCTGATACTGTATTTCAGTCTCTTTATCAATATCAAATGCAGCTTTGGAGCTTGTCAACCTCCATTTTTTACAAACTGTCTACACTCCTGTTGTCATTGTCACAGGTGTCACATGAATGAGTGAACGCAGTGAAAGGCAACTTTCTAACCCAATTTCATTGCTGAAGTCAGTATATTTTTCTGGATAGATTATTTACCGTTGCTCTTTGACTGTCTGTCCCTTAAACATGAATCAATTCTGCCAGAAACGATCCTGTTTCTGATTAGGGAATCTCTAATATCACCAACAATGTCTGGATACCAGAGTTCTCAGATATTTAAAATATGCATGTTCCTATGTTTTCTTTAACTTTGTTAGAGAAAGAACGGATTTGAGAACAGACCCACCGGAGCGTTAACAGTGGGTCTGTTGCAACACAGACATAAAACCTACACATTTGCAGCTGGATTCTCCCCTGGTGTGATTATGTTCCTTCATAGCAGCTGAGAATCCACACCTTTACTCTCGCCATGGATTAAATAAATGAAAAAACCCTGTGTATTTAATACTGTTCCAAAATCCAAACAAATGACAAATATAGTACCTTGAGTAAGACTTTTCCTTCTGAGCAAGAACCACGCTGTGGTTTTGACCCCTTAGTCAAAAGGGTCTGTAATGATAAATGTAAGTCAGCGGGCACCCTTTGTTTCATTTCACAGACACATGGACAATTTTGCTTATCTCCAGGGAGGCCTTCCTCAAAACCATCAGTGTGTGGAACTGACAGTGCTAGTCCCTCTTAGGAGTTTTATAATGAAAACAAACAAATAAGATATTCCTAGTGGCTATTTATGCATGTATGTTTTTCAAAGATAATTATGAACCGTAGCTGAATTTACTAATGCCATGGGAACTACTGTAAAAAGAAAGTCAAGATAAATTCAGAGAAAGGAAGGCAAAGGGCACAAAGATAAACTAAAACGACATAACCATCTGGCAAAGGGTTTTTTCTAGAAGAGGCTCCTTTAAGTGAGAGAAAATGAGTGCTCTACTATTTAGTGCTCTGCTGTAATTCTGGAAGATGAACAAAGCATAGGTTTAGTAAAAGTCTGTGATGCTGTTCCAGGATTGCGTTAGACAGGATTGATCAGACTGAGGGCTAGCCCTGCACAGATGTATTTATAGTATGAACCTTGGAGTAGTGCCAGAGAACATAGTCGGGCTTCTCTAGATTTGCCAGGATCCATGCCATAGTCATGTAAATCCTCGTTTAGCTGACCTAGTGCAAATAATACATATACAAAGCCTATCGGGCAAGTATTTTTATCGGGGATTATTTTCTGTAGCAGCTTTCTAGATTTGTATGTGCCATTCAGCATTCAGTAAGAGTTCTCAAAATACTCCTCTTACCAACACAATAATTTACCCTACATAAACACTTCACTTTACTCCTTACATTTGTGAAGTCTCCAGACCCGAGGTATGAGGGAAATAATCTGCTGATTCGTATAGCATAAAGGTTTGTCTCCTGTTTCAATACTTGGGTCTAATTAGATGCTTTAAATTAGCTGAATTATTATCTGCTGTTCTTGTTTAACTTGAGGGAGATGGAAATACACATATCTTTTTCAGCTTTTGGGATTACTTATTGTGCAAAAGACAACCTGATTAATTTTTTAAAATGACAAGAAACAAGAGGAATGAAATCTAAGATAAAGAATCTCAACGAAAAAGATAGATTTCCATCTTCCACTAAAGTAGGCTATCGGTAATACGGCTCTTACATGCCTTTACATGCTACAACTCATAAGTGACTCACAAAAGGCAGATCATTTTTCTCTCCTTTTTGTCCCCAGCTGCTCAGCCTGCCTTAATTAACTACTGCTTTGAATGCAGTTCCCTCTCCTTTCCATGCAGACTGTCAAAAGACCTCAGCTGAGAAAAAAAATTGCATAAAATTCCTCTCTTCAGTGATTCATATGCTCATAAACTTATGCCTTGCTCAGATGCCTGTCCTAGATCCCGCTCTGTTTTTTGCATTTTAGTCAAAGGCCTCAATCAAATGCCCTTTTAGCTCCTGTGTCTCTATGCCAAAGACAAAAATGTATTTCCTCTATACACCATCCAGCTTGCTTTTATTCCTACTTTTTTCTTGCTAATGTCTTGTTGTCATCTTCCATTTATTGTACTCTGATCATTTAGGGCTGGTCTCATAAAAGCTCCCTCTGGTTTTATACCAAAGCTTTTCTCTCTCTTTTCCTAAATGGCATCTGTTTGCGTAACCTCCTCCTAAGTCTCCTTACAAGAGATTATCTAGATGCCAAGATTTACAATCTAGTCTCTATTGTTGCCTTCTCTATGAAACGTAACTAAAATTAACTAGCACGAAATACAGTCTTACGGAAGTCAGTATAGAGTTTTCAAACAGGACAGAAGATTAAGCTGAAGCCTAAATAAGGACAACCCTGAACCATGCAATTTGCTTGTATTTTAGAAACTCTCGTTTCTTCCCAACTTTCCAGACTCGTTTTAAATTTCTGCAGTTAACGCTACTCCAGTTTTTCCTTAAGGAAGAGAAAGCCTCTAAGGATTAAATCCTCATGTGGACTGACCCCCCGTGGGGGACTCAGTAGGAGCTCTCCTACATCATACCTGTGCTTTGCCCAGATTACTTGGGTATGGGCACACTGGAGAAGTCAGAGTCCAGTAGTCATTTACAAAAAGAGGTAACCAAGAACATCGGTATATTGGTTTTCCCTTTCATTCATTCCTGGCACAGCTTGGCTTGGGACCCACAAGGCACTACTCAAGAGACAACTGATACGGGGAATTGTGGTTCAAGAGCTTTCTGAGGCATAATGCCTACCTTTCGTATATTCTTGCATTGGTGCAATTTATACCTGTCTCCAAGCACAAGGTCATGACATGGTCCTATATGTTTGTGCTATGTAGGCTTCTTGTGCGAAGTTTTGTGAAGTGTGATGCTATGTAAATAACAGTGTATTCATCCAGGACACAAGCTGTGCCAAATAAGCTGCTAGTTAGTACTAAATAAGAATCTTCAAGGTTGCACATTTTCTTGAGAATTGTTTCCAATTCTCTTCTAATGTAGGCCTGTGTTTGTATAGTACTTGGAAATCCTGTATATGAGGAGCCCAGAATGCTGCAAAACATTTTGACAGATTGTTCTTGAAACCAAAACATTTTACCTGAAGGCTTGGGTGGAAAATACCACATCATTTTCTTATGCAAAACAACTCTGTGGCATACTGAAGACACACAGAGTTATTCATATGGAAGAAAAAATATTTTTGTGAGTTGACCATGCTGTGCAGTGCTATGGGAAGGTGAGCACCTACATAGTGCTGTGATTAAAATGTATTTGCATCCTGTATGACAGGTGTTTCCATGTTACTAGGATGCCAGCAGTGGTCAGATCATCTTGGCTTCTCCCAACGTAAGAAATGCAGTCAAGTCTCTGTTTGCTTGAATTGCTTGGACCAGCAGAACATTAACTTTTTTCCTGCTGAGGTTACGCTATACAAGACAACACTATCCAAGCAAACCTGGGTATGGAATGGATTTAACAGAGGCCAAGTGCTGAAGGGCAGTAACGTATTGAACCTCATCCAGGGGAAACACTAGCACGCCAAAACAGCTATTGGAAAGTGTGACCTTTTCTCACATTGCACTCAGGTGAGTACAAGGCAACCCTTTTAGGAACATATTTCTATATGTTTCTATAAGTGATTTCTTAGGTTAATACACCAATAGTTTGAATGTGAAGAGTTAGTTGTTTTATGCTGTCTATTGCGATTACTGTCTAGCTCAGGTGTGGGTCAGAGGAACAAAAAATGACATGCCTTATTCCCCTCAACAGCCAATAGCTTTTCAGAAGGGAAGATAACTCAAGTGAAGCTAATGCCTAAAGATAGCTAAAGAATAAAAGATGAGTATCGGTAGAAAGTCAAGCAGTAAGTAAAAGTTCAGGAGATTTAAATATTTAATAAATCAGTAGTCCTTAGCAAGTAATATTGGCAAAGGAGAAAACATTCAATCAATAGATCCACAT